AATAATAATATTTAAATAAAATTAATTCAACCATTGGGAAAACTCAGAAACTTTGTAGGACCTGCCGGTAAATGGACAGTAACAGACAGATCTTTACTAAAATTGAGTGTTGCTTACGATGCAACTAGTCCCCTGAGCATCATAAAACTGTAATGCCTATTTTCTTTAAGGCCTAAGTACCTTAAATTATTTAGTTCCAGAGTTTTGTTAGGAGATTCAAGATGCAGTCTTACATAGCATATATGCAGTTTAAAAACAAAATGGTACCTGGTTTATCTATGCAGGGACATAATAATCTTCGATAGAAACTACTTCAGGGTTTTCACTCTTATTCACTTATTTTTCTTTGAACTAATGTAATAACTAGGATAATGTAATATTTTAGATGTATATATATGTATAACTTTAATGTAATTACAATAAGCGAAGTTTTAATATTATTATTTAAATTAAGGAAAATATATGTTCAGCTTCATGCCATTATCAAAAATACTGTTAAAGGCCCTTACTGTAAGGAAAATTGTAACATTTTTAAGAATTCTAAAATTAAAGGTCCATAGTTGATGTGTATATAGAACAGTCATATAGAGCATTAGTGGTTTCAAATACGGACTCATTGTGTCTGTAACATGAATAAAGATATTTTGATATAATTTAATTTGGATTTTAAAAATAGTTGAACTTGTTTTATTGTTATTACCTATCTTCATTGACATAATAAAGAAAAGAAACTATATATCCTGTCATTACCAATAGAATCACATATGATTTTGAATAATTATGACTTATAGTACTGTAGGAATTTGGAATTAACAGACTATTGTAAAGGTCCACTGAAATATGTAATATCTTAAGTTTAAAACACTCTCAAATAATGTTATCAGTATATTTATTCATGTCCAAAAAATCTTTGAATTTGTAAGAAAATGATATCATGCATGTACTTTTGATTCATACATGAAATAAGAGGTTATTACTATTTGTGTTGACAAAAAAATATATTAAAATTATCAAAATTACCCACACCAAATACTCTAATAACATAATATATAAAGAACAATATCTTGACATAACATTATACATAAATATTTACCTTTATATATTTATGGACAGGTATAAAGGGAAATGAATGGAAGAATGTCAATTTATATCCATTGTGGTGTATATAGGTAGTTAACTATGTAGTTACATAAAATACAAAGTCAGCAATTAGTTTATTGTATGCTTGTACCAGAGTACAAGAAGCATACAATAAATATATATATATATAAGCTAAATTACTTAATTTACAGGTAAATTAAGTATTTTAGCTTATATATCTACGGAGATAATGGACACACAAACTACAAGTCATAATTTCTAATGGAAAAACCTAAGTAGAATACTAAATTATAATAATTATAAACACTAAGTCCCATTAACATTTTAACCTGGTTGGCCCCTTAATATTACCGACATGATAATAAAAATACTTTAGGTGATAAGGAAAAGGCATAATAATCTCATTAAGAATCATGTGGTAGGTAGATATATTCATGCATCATTATGTGCTTAAATCATAAAAGACAGACACCTATAACTAACGCCGAGTAAGTCCGTGGCTCAATGTCACGCACGTGCCCATCTCGATGAAGGCGTTACGATAGCTAAGGCCACGCCAAACCAACACCTTTAATTTTATTTGTAATATCAGTTACCCACACGACAATATCATAATGCGTTACTTAGTTACACAACGGAAATTCGATTGAGTCATGGATGTGGAGAAAGTGCCGATGACTAATTTTACAGATAATATCTGTTAAGGAATTAGTTTAAACGCACTCCTACTAACTGAGATGATAATAATTTGATATCGACCAAGATAACGGCATGACTACGCACGGCGAAATTACGACGCACTAACGAGAGCACTGGTTACTTACTGCCTCTACTAATACTATGCGAAAGATTAGTTGAGCCCACGCATTTAAAATTCGATCAAACGTATTCTAACATAGAATATTATTTAACGTTATCTAAAATATATATAAGCATCAATGGTTAAGAATCCTAAAAATACAGTCGAAGGCATGTATGAAATGTAAGAGTTAAAAAACCAACTTACACAAAAATATGAATCCGAGTAGGCTTATATACTAAAAGTGAAACTATTCAAACTATTTGTCGAAACGGAAAAGCAGTACCGAAGCAAAAAGCTTTGTTAATTAAATGAGAATAGTTAGTAATAATCCGCGCCGCGAAATCGTGTCGCCGGTAAAGGCAAAATGGCTGCTGCGATGGGCACTCCTTCTATGCGTCACAGTCACAGATTTGTGGCAATTCAATTTCTAAAGGTGGACACAATATTATGCACAAGATATAGATATATCACTTCATATAATTTTAATCCACTTACTTGTTGGAAGGGAAAAAAAGTAATAAAACCAGCAAATTACTATATAATATCAGTTTTTCTCTTGCGGTGAACGATACACTACACTGACGGCAGCGGGGCCAGAGGGGAAACAAGAACCGGAACAGGGTTCTCATACGACTACGGACATTTCAACGACATTCATCGCAGAAAAAAAAATGTGGCATAGACTATGGTATTCAGTTAATACTCGCGTTTACGATATTATTTTGCTTTATCTTTTTTTATCGAAGTGAAAGAGATACTGTATAACTCGGCAATCAAAACTACAATTGTCTATGGATAAAGAAATTAATTGTCTAACCATAGTACCACATACCGGAAACTTGAATAATCCCGCGTATTTTAAATATTTATTTCCGAAGTTGAATCGATATGATTGAATTTTTCGATTTATGTTTATTATATGTAATGCAAAAACTCTAAGATATAGTCTGGTTAAAGGAATTGCGTGAAAGTAAACTATACTCAGACATATAACTCTGGTTTAACTTCAAGACGCTTAAATGTTGTCGCTCTTTAGACTATGACATATTTAGTTCAAATGAAAAAATTAATTTAAGGAAATATATAGGACCATTGTCACAAAAAATGGATTTCAAAGTCTTTTTAAATGAAATGTACGTTAAAAACTACTTGCTTATATTTTTTATTTATATTCAATGTCAAACAAGCTGACGATCTGAATATTGGCGTATTGTTGATAACGTGATATTCTTGATGCTATTTATGTACTCTATAGGTGACCACAAAGACCTAGGCGGCCGCCGTGGTTACTGTTGGTGACATTGGCACATCACTACCGCTCACTCTTACGACAATTTTTACCATAGTCTACCAACAGTCGCAATGGTATGTAGTTTGTGGGACGTACCTATACATATATATATATATATATTTAGTTCGTATTTATATTGTTTATACATGCTTTTATATATATTTTATGAGTAATATATTATTGTCCAAAACTATATTGTAAGTTTATTAATGTATACATATAAATAAAATTGGAGTTTCTGTTTGTAATATTCAAATAACCGTTTTTTACTACATACATATGAATATAAATACGGTACATATCCCAAATTATCATTTTTTATAATATTTGCCTGTCTGTCTGTCGGTCTGTTTGTTCCAGCTTATCTCTGAAATGGCTAGACCGATTTTGACGGGACTTTTTTTATAAAGTTGGAGCCATTTTTGAAAGGCCAGGTTTAGCCAACATAGCATTAAATAACACCAAAGGCAGGTAGCTGATGTAATAAGGCGTAACTTAGTCTACTTTTATTTTAGAAAAATAAAGTTAAATTCCACTCGGACGAAGTCGCGGGAACAGCTAGTATTATATACATTAAAAAAAAAAGAAGAAAATAAAGAAAACAAAATAAAACAAAGACTGTTCCTTTCTCTAGTTTATTTAATGAAAAATCTTTTCCACTTTAAACACTAAAACTAAACCTACAATAAAATTACAAAAATAAATTACAATTTTTGGCTGTCGGTCTGTTTGTTCCGGCTAATCTCTGAAATGGCTGAACCGATTTTGACGGGACTTTTTTTGACAGGTAGCTGATGTAATGAGGAATAACTTAGGCTACTTTTATTTTAGAAAAAATCTTTTATTTTAGAAAATTTAAGTTAAATTCCACGCGGACGAAGTCGCAAGTACAGCTAGTAGTACATAAATAGCATCACGAATATCACATTATCAAGTCATCGTATCATATTATCGTGTACACATGTGGTAACAACATCTTGGAGTCAAGTGCTTTGCGGGCAAAATAGGTAAAATTATTCAAATCCATGTTAACGCGTACCTAATGAGCAAATAATCACTACGACAATTTTTACATAGAGTCTACTAACAGCCGCAATGGTATGTAGTTTGTGGGACGTACCTATACATATATATATATATATATTTAGTTCGTATTTATATTGTTTATACATGTATTCTTAATATTATGTTATTTGTGATGTTACTTAATTAAAAGAAATATTCATATAGTAAAATAAACAAAGCTCTAAAGAAATAAATGTTTATTCCTATAATTTTGAAATATCCAGAACTTCATTTACTAACGGATACGTAAATCTATCGTTAAAGTAACGACAATTGCAGTACCCATATGTACTAGTTACAAAACCAATTAATATTGATATGTCAATGCTTTCGTAATTTTGTTTCCTTTTTATTAGTGGATTATTATTTCTTGTGCACTAAATAAATAAAAAAACTTTTATAGGCATTGCTCTATGATTGTAAGAGTCTTTGCCTGTTCCATCATTTGAAAAAGAGATGGGTGAATGTAGAAAAAAAAAGTATCTATGGCTGCATTGGATAAATAAAAAAAAATCTATAGCTGTACTGTCAGTTTTAAACAAAGAGTAAACTAAGTACCTATACCAGAGGAACTGTAAGTCTCTTTGTCGACTGCGATTTGGACATTGAAATTCAATGCACATTTACACCGAATGATCATTAATTCTTTGTCTTTTATGCTGTAACGAAAATCAAACATTAGAACATATATTTTTTTATTGCTTCAATTTAAACAGCCTTCAACTGTATATAAGCGTGCAAAATACTGTTCTGATCTGTAAATAAAACATGTGCTAAAGTTAAAATTAATAACATTAAATCTTGATATTTAAACGTTTATTTTATAGTATTACTTCTAATTATTCTATATAATCATTATACGTAATGCCGAAATCAAAAAGAGATAAGAAAGGTATGTAAGATATTGTTACTATAATAGTAATAGGTTATATCAAAAGACATTATTTTTACTTTGCAGTTCTTACCCTCTGTCGAATATTTAGTAATAGGAATTGACCCAAAATATTATCATATTACTGCAATTATTAGTTGCAGTTAATGTTTTTTTCTTTGACAACTTAGGCCTAAAAGCAACATTCAAAATCATCAAATATTTTAATATTTACAGTATGTTAGTTGAGACATTATTGAACCTACGGTAAAGACTTCTCTGTCTCTTTCTGTTATCCCACTAACAATCACAAATGTATATTTTATTTATTATATATATTTTGAAATTCTAGTTTCGCTTACCAAAACAAATAAGAAAGGATTGTTGTTAAAACAGAAAATTATTGAGCAGATACGAAATTCACTATCTAAATATGAACACATATTCTTATTCACCGTGGATAACATGCGCAATACAAAGTTGAAAGACTTGCGCAATGAGTGGAAAGATTCACGATTCTTCTTTGGCAAAAATAAAGTGATGGCGATAGCTCTGGGAAAAACAAAAAGTGAAGAAATGGAAGACCAACTAAATTTGGTAAGACGTTTTTTATAATAAAGAAACGAGTCACAGTTAGTTCCATACAGTAATTCAAGTTGACAATAGAAATATACTATTAATAGTAATGATTATTTCAATTTCTTGTCTTCAATCAAAGACTAAAACTAGTTTTAATTGCATTGCTCTTGTATCCATTTTATTTTCATAAATCACATGAATAATCATTTGTTATTTATAATTAACAATACTGTGTTTATGAGTCAGACGTACTGTATTTACATAGAATAGAGTTTTTAGTATAATCTGCATGGTCTTATAATTAAAATTAATTGACAGAGGAAAATATACTAATCTAAAATTGTATTTTTCTAATCTAGTAGAGAAATTCTTACGAAAACCTGCCTGTTCTATAGGCTGGTTTTCATCAAGCTGTTTTGATATTCTGTCTAAGATTATCTTTGTACTTTGTACAGATTCGACATCAAACTTATATATTTTTAATCCTTTATCCCTTTCTTGTGTATAAGGATTATGTGAGATTCTTTCTAGAAAGTTAAAGGGCCAATGTGGATTGCTTATGACAAACAGAGATGTTCCTGATGTTTTACAATGGTTTAATGACTATAGTGAATCAGAGTATGCTCGCTCTGGTTTTATAGCTGAACGAGATGTCATTTTACCATCAGGTCCACTTGAAGACTTTTCACATACAATAGAACCTCATTTAAGACGACTTGGCCTACCTACATCACTTGAAAGAGGAGTTATACATCTAATAAAGGAATACCAGGTAGAAACCTATATCTATGTAATGTTATTTATTAAATATTATTCAAGAGTAACAATTGAACAGCTATTTTTAAACATTTTCTAATTATTTCTAAACAGTATAATTAGGTATAATTATTATATTATTATATAATTATAATTAATATATTCATAAAAGTATTGACAAAAATCGTTTTGTAGTTTAAACTAATATAGTGGACCCCCGGTTATCCGACAAATGTTTTGCAGGGCAGTGTCAACCATCAAATTTGTCGGATTATAAAGGGGGCCTAAGCGTCCTCTATAGTCTGGAATTTTTTACAAAAGAGTATCTTGTAATCAGACAAATTACAGATCCAGTGATAAGATTCTATGTTATATATGTATGTATGTATGTATATGCACTTTGAAGTATATATCATACTTCATTATGTATGTTGACTATATATGTCGATTCATTATGATTTAGGTGGTCTAAAATATCACATTTTTCTTTAATTGTTAGCGTTTTGTGTTTCGTTTCTGAGCTGATGCATATATAATAATAATAATAATAATAATCTCAGGACAATTCACACAGCGCCATCTAGACCCAAGTTAAGTTAACTAAAGCTTGTGTTACGGGTACTAGATAATACACTGATACAAATACATAAATAATTTTTTTTCGTAAATACATACATATTATACATAGTAAACACCGAGACCGATACAAACATTCATACTCATGAATACAAATGTTTGTGCCGTGCGAGGAATCGAACCCGCGACCATCGGACGTAAAGCGGTGTGTTAGACTGCTAGACCACCGAGGTAGTCAAACACAAATATGTGTGAATAAACAGTAAACAACAACACAAACTATACTGTACTACTATCTTCATCACATGTATGTAGTCAAATTCAAACTAAGCAATCATAGTCACAACACCCTATGTGTTAATTAGTAACAGTGGTGTTGTGTGCAAGTTCAAACTTGTTTAATCATGTATTAGCGAAGATTGTCAAAAAAATATTCAATAATAAATAATAGACTATGTCAGTTACAAGGGGGGCCGGATTATCGCGGGTCCACTGTATATCCATATGATACTAAAATCGTATACTGCAATGATACCACTTACTGTGTGAATTCACGGCAAAATAAACATACTAACACTATGTTGTATATACATAATATTATAAGTATTTCATCATAACATAGTATTAGTCACTTAGCATTGCGGGTTGAAAATGAGTAGTAATAGAATAGATAATAACAATAGTAGAAGTAAAATCACAATTAAAGGGTACAGTTTAGATCAAATAATTCAAACATTATATATGGGATTAATGTTTTGTGATGTTAGAATGTGTATGACTTGAGTTAGCTACTTCCTAATATTGACTTCAAATTCACTGTAGATGTCATATACCTACTACCTACCTACCTACATACCTGTTGTATGAATAAAAATGACAATTTAAATCTATTTAGGCTAGTTAGCTATCTGCTAAGTGACAATATTTCATATTCTTGTGATTAAACTGTTCTTACTTAAATTCACAGGTTTGCAGAAAGGGTAATCCTCTAACCCCAGAACAAGCAAGTATATTAAAGCTTTTGGGTATTCAAATGGCTGACTTCAAAGTGGTTATAAAGTGTCATTGGACAAAAGGCAAGGGTTTTAAAAAAGACATTGATTTACCAAGTGATGAAGAAGATGAAGATGACAATAAGGATGTCATTGAAGATGTTATGGAACAGGATGAAACATAATAAAACATATTAGAATATTATGAGTTTATTTACTATCCACCCAAAGTGTAATGTTATTTATATTCAAAATATTGTATAGTAAAAATAATGATAATTCACACAGTGCAATCTTTCCCAGGCTAGGCAGAGCTATGGGTTGTGTTATGGGTACTAAGACAACTGAAATAGTACAATATTTTTTTAAAATACATGCATTATATACACTGGTAACACCATGTTCAATACAAATAAATTAAATTAAATAAAAAATACAAATAATCATACATACTCATCAATACAAGAATCAAACCCCCGTGCATCGGATGTAAGATTGTTAAACTGCTAGACCGATGCCATCACAGTAAAACTAAAAAACTATATTTAGTTACCATATCAATAATAATTTAAAATCTAGACACAGGTCCCAGATTTTAAGTTTCATGTGACTGTCATATTTCCTTGTCTTTTCTTGTCATACTAGACTAGTAGTTTAACTTTGGGCCATATGTTATTTGAAATGTTAACACTAGCCTTCTATTTTTTGTAATATACGAAAAAGGTAACGTAATGCACTTCATTTATGTAAATTGCTTAGGACCCTTCAACTCGTATAGTCTAGGTGCTAACTTTATATACATATTTACCATGTAATAGTTTGGAGATAATAGGATATGATAAAGGTAAGTATGAAGTCACCTTGGCCAGTTTACCGTGGAAATGTAACCACAACGAATTTTATTACTAAAAATTCTCTCCTAACCCCTACACTTTTCTGTCCATAGACGAAATATGTGATATTTGAATACAACGTAACGGGGCTAGTGATGTGCTAACATGATTTGAGTTACCTTGAAAGTTTATTTCTTATTTTTCGAACTATTCCAATGTTGTTGGTCTTCAAGGCCAGCTGGCCTTAATGGCTTTACCGAATCGTAGAGGGAGTGGAAATGGTACTCCGAACCCGCGGAAGGACTTTGGAGCGCATGCATGGCTGTCAGGACAACTAATATTTGAGTGCCTTTTCTTTTAAAATTTTTCAATAACGAGCTCGTATTTCCTACATAAAATTAATCCGAGAATTTCTTACATTTTACTTGGTCACTCACTGGTGATTTGAAAATTTCCCAAACATGGCATTTACTCTAAAAACCCGGCATTTCGAGGGAAAATAGTATGATATCATCTGAAACTGTCATTGTCAGTTTCATTCGGTCGTTGCAATGGCAGGAGTACCTACTAAGAACTACTAAGGCACGCACTCAACGAGAGAACGCTCTCGGTTTTTCACTTCATTAATTTATTCACCGGTCCAACTCAAGTTGGGAGCAATCAACTCGAATTCAGCCCAACTCGGGTTGACTCATCTCTAAACGGGACAGAGCCTAATAGTCTTAAATAGAATGAATAAATAAAAATTCTTTATTGTTTCTCTCACAGAAAAAACAATTACATTAATTAATAAGTATACTAAATAGAGATAATTATAACAAGACAGGTGTTATAATGGGCGGCCTTATCATTAAATAGCACTATCTTTCACGAAATCTTTTGACAAGCTCAGACGACTTCTTTTAGTCCGAATAGTAAGTAAGATCTCTGATAGTGTCTGCCAGAGGAAACATTTTACTCCTGAGGTGTGGTAATGCATGAATCATGGAATTAACTACTCCAGGAAACTTTGTTTCATTAGCATATTAATAATAAAGTTGATTTTACGATAAAATACAAGGAATGTTATTTAATCTCGAGAATAAATTTAAATAATAATAGAAAAGTATAAGTTGCTAAAATATTTATTAAAACAATCACAGAGAAAATAATAAATTACATTATAAAAATACCGAATTTTCATCAAACGGGATCTGCAATTAATATTCTCTAAACAATATTTAATTAACTTAATGTAAAAGTCATCAAGAAATTTTATTTCACTAACAGTACTCTAAAAATTATACAAAATTAAGCATCTATCAGAAGCTAAGCCTCCATATACATTTATGAATAAAATGTGTGAATGTATTTTTAACACAATGATAACTTAGCACACATACAAAACAAGGAATCACAGTATAAAAATAAAGCATTGGTTTATTTTATCAGTCGACGACATCACAGCTTGCACATTCGGCAAAATAAAATATTAGACGGTTAACATCCACAAAAAAACTTAAATTCTAAACAAAGTAATGTCATTGCAGCTGTGGAATAAACAGTCTTGTAATACACACCTATTACAACATATTATTAATGTAAGCTAACAAAGAATACAACATTCGTGCACAGCTAATTCTATATTGAAAGGATACCCTTTCAACATTTACCTAGTACATTTACTAATTATATATGAGTTGATAGACACAACTTAATGGCGACTGTTAATTTTTTTTTGCAAATAAAACAAGTATTTTATAACTATATGATCAAAAATGTATCAACAAAAATTATTTTTGTGATAAAAAGGATCGTCTGCGTAGCTACTAAGTAGATACCGATAGATAGTTGTGTTTCTATTTTGATATTTAGTGTGTATCTGTATTTGTAAATGTGATTCTTTAATTAACACGTGTATTATGGGTTCCAACCTAAGTTATTAAAAATGTGTTACCTATCTCTAAGAAATTGTCAATCTTGATGTTAGTCAGTAATTCAATTGAGTTTCTTGCCAGTTCTTCTCAATTGGATCTATATACCGAACTGGACGGTAGGGAAAAAATAAAATTATAATGTAAAAATTTGACGTTCATAAGCCGCTAAAATGTCCTACATGAATAAATGATTTTTGAATTTTAATATGCTGCTAAAGGTAAGTAGTTATAGTAGAGTATAGAAGACGTGTACAGTATGCGTGCAGTCGAAATGTTAGCTAAAACATCTAATCTGAAAGCATAGAAACAGCCAATTTCACCGTTGGAGCATGAATTGTATCATTCGCCGCAATTCCAGTAATAATTTTCGACTGTGAATTATGTGAGATCACTACTATATCACAGCACATTCATCAAATGAAATCATTACCTATAGATATGGTTTGCAATTTTCTTCTACTTCATTTCATTATGCAATACAGATGCAATTCATATTAAATAATATGTTCTAAAAACACATGCACAATGAAACTATAAATTACAATATCAATATAGCAGGAACATAATCTTTAATATTAATTTACTACTACAACAGTGGCGTGTACCTACTTTCTAAGTAATATATATTGAATAAAAATGATTCATCGGTGGATGTGTATATTTTAGAGTTTATATTTGGTTTATTATACCACCAACATTAACACAACTGTGTAACTATAATGCTTGTATGTGGTGAAATGTAGTTTGACACGGTATAAAAATGAGTCCATTCAAAAACAGATGTGTCCAGTAATAAAGAAAGTAAAATAGAACAAATAAACAAATTTTATTAAATTAAACTATATCGTCATGTTCTTATTTCCATTACGTATTGGCGGAGATATTATTCGTTTTAAACCCAATTGTATCGATGTGATATTTGTAATAAATTGTAATTGATGCATACAGAAACGTATATTTTAAGTATAAGTACACTCAGATTACAGTTGAACCAAAATATACGTATTTCAATTAATAGCTATAGAGCTATAGTGTCCGTTCGAACTTTCGGCCGGATTTGGCGCTAAATTGGAGCTTCTGTACTTGTAGTAAATAGATCGAACCCGAAACAGAATTGTTATGTAATAAAGTATTTAATTCTTGTGTTTTATTCGCAATGGTTAATCAAGGCTGGGTTATCACAGATTGATCGTTTTAATAAATTATAAATGTCTTTTTATTTGTACAGTACAAAATCAATTGAGCAATAAAGGCAATGATTTCTCAAATGATTGTCTACGTATGTAAAAACTAATAAAACTCCAGAGACTTGAAATTCGGTTTCGGTTTCGGCTTTACATGGACACTAAAGAGCTGTATAGCACGAATAGTAAGCTAATGTTTGGACGATACAACCGGAGCAATCGCCGGTAATTCAATGGCAAGTAACGGTTCACGCCAGAACACCGTCTGCGAGAATTCATCACTAGGTTCACATAAGGCTGGAGGGAATACCTGGTCTACCATCACTGACATGTGAGAGTACCTGTAAAAGAAAAATCCCGTATTAGCAAATTTTATTAAGTATGATGGCCGTATAAAAATATCTGCTGTATACAAAGGACGCCTGCAATACTAGTATTGGCAACTTCTAGTCGCCAGAAGCCATTATTTTTATTAATATTTGTAGTATTAAAGTCAATACTCATATAATATTTATAACCTGTTACAAAGTACTATAAACAATTTGATTAATACCTATCTCTAGACAAAAATGAAAGTTTATTCTATATCATTATCATTAAAAAGACAATATACATAAAACATGTCATACATAGTAAAATATCTTATGACATTATCATAAAATCGAAAAAAAAAAGAATTATCGTAATCTGCTTCTCTATATATATATATCGAAATACAATATTTTCTATATTAATATATTGTATGCTATATTGTATGTAGCTCCTAGTGTTAAAAATAATTATCAAGTGCTAATATCAGAATTATCTATAGCAATAACGTACCCATAGTGTTGTTGGATTCCAATAACTTTTTTAATTAAGAAATAATATATAACTATACTATACCTAAATATTGCATTTTAGATACAGATTAGTGGTTTATATTCATATTTTAGAAATCCGACACCACACTTTAATGAAGGAGTGTGAAGTAGAAGGTGAAACACATAAAAATCGGACACATACAAAAAGAAGTGACGTGATAGACATTATGTCGGTGATTTTGTTAGTCCTTAGTATGCTAATATGTAGTTATTATATAGCAGTATGACAATAAACTTGTTTGATGGGCGAACGCAGGTCACAACGGTGACTAAGCCTTGCAAGTCATGCCTTACGGCTTACCATGAATGACGGCATACCGGGACTCTAGTTTCTTTCACTACATTTGTAATTTATTTACACTCTACAGACCTAATGCTTGAGCTAGATTTAATAATATTATCACGTTTCAGTGGCGGGAAGAAATCATCGACCATGTTACTTTGCACGTTGTAACTGAAATAAAAATAATGTACTTAATAAAATGTGGGCAGGTCGTTGGTTAGTTACACTGGGTAGGAGACTGTACATATGCGAGCACTCAATGTTGAACACAATAATACTTACGTAGATTGGAATGTCTGGGTGAGTTCGTGTTTCAGTTCGCCTTTGTAGTTGATAGTAAAAATTCTCACGATCGGAATACCCACTGCTTGATAAGCGCACACGTCCTGTAAATGAAAATATTTTAATTCGGTTAACAAGTACCACATTGATACCATGTATGTGTGTACAAGAAAACATATTAAAGTCTAAATACATTTTTTCAGGTATATTTAAGTCAATAATGTAAGCTTTAATAAATCTATGACACAATGAAGAATCAAATAGTTATACTGTTATTACTAATATTGATTGATATTTGATTGATTGATTAATATTGATATTGATAAAGAAATGATCAGCCAGTTCAATCTTTGAAATTCCATTTTCATCTCTTTTACAGTTATATTTTACGTCAAGACAGCCGTTGTTCGCTGCTTCCTTATGTTTTTACACATGTAGTATACAGTGATATAAAATCCACTTACATTAACCCTATTACCATATCCAGCGTAGAATGGATTAGATCCTTGCGGAAACAACGCCTTAATATCTGCAAGGCATTGTATCTTGAACTCCTCAGGCTTCTTCTCGATGACCTCGCGATGGAAGGCGCGTAACAGAGACGTGGGATTCAGAAGTAGTGGCCCGTCCGGCAGGCACACCTCACCCTGTCTGATGGAACGCAGGTATTCGCGTGTTACCTGCAAAATAATAATATTTTAGATATCCCGACCTATTTCTATAATTATAATAAATTCTTTCATCATGAATAAGTAAACCAGTTCGTGAAATAGATATATTTCATTGTTCCTAACCGCCTCAATACAATTGCTCAGAATTGTATTGCTCATAGCTGAGGTATGTTAAAATTTATTCATATCGACTATTAGGTACATTTTTTAAAATATATACAGTATAGTAGAGAATATACTCAGGTCATTTATAGTGGTTAATTTCCTCAGAAATTTAACACAAAGGTTTCCAGGACAGGTGGGTTCCCCATTAGTAACTACTCCTCTGCATAAGTAATAATAATGCAAGTACATTTCATATGAAGTAACTTACCCTTGCCTGTCCAATAGCGCGTGCCGATAGATACAACAATTGGTAACCGTTGTTCTTGATTTTAGTGAAAAGCTGCGCCACACCCGACTGCGCCCAATCTTTACCCACCAATGGGAAAATGTGCCCTAACACATCCGACCTAAAAGGAAACGAGTTGATAGTTTCAGAGTGTTATGTAAAATACGCGTAAAAAAGGCGAACACAGAATTTTAATAATGCATAAAACACTTGTATTCATTCTACAAATTATTCTTCAATTGACTGCATGGAGAATAATGAAAATGAAGCAGTGTAAATTCTTGATAATGCCTTAAGGGAGAAATCGAATCTTTTTTTATACCACAATGAGGGCCAACAAGCATACGTCCATATGATACTAAAGTTGCCGTAGCTCATGGACGCCTGTCACACCAGGTGTATCATGTAGGCGCTGCTGACCTTAAAATTATGTTATACTACATGTCCCCGTGGTATTAGCCGCGTGAAAATTATGGCCTAAATGTTATTCTGATGTATAAGTTACAAAAAAGTTAAAATGCATTCAGCAGTTGTTGTGTTAAAGCGGAACAAACATCCATCCAGCCACACTCACAAAGTCTCACGTTTATAATATTAGTAATATAATGTTATTATTAAGTAACATTAGTAGTATTGATTGATTGAATTTAAATTTACATCTTGAGCTTGAACAGTTTGTCTCATGTAGGTCATGTACATTTCACATGTCTCTTTATTTTTTTTTATGTGTTACTACAAATTTCACAATTAAATGGTTATATTCCTTAAGAAAATAATACACATAAGATCTCGTGATCTTATGTATATTATTTTATTCTCAGCTCTAGCATATCTTCTTGTGGCGATTTTACGATTGTGTTTAAAATTCCACACATTACTAACAATCAGCAATAACATAAAGTGTTATTCTCACTTGGTGATCGTGCCATCAATATCAGAGATGACGATCTTGTCGTCATACCGCCAGCGGAAAACGTTGCACTTGCATTTAGTCGTGCCCTGATATGCGGTTGTCACGCTGAACACCATTTCATTCATACCTTCACGAAGATTCAGGTTTTTCTGAGGAATTAAGAAACACAATGTTTTTTGTTCTGTTACATATTGAATATTATCTACCTAATCAACAATTTAGCACACTGCCTTCCTTCAGATAGTCGCGGGTTCTATTCTTGTATGATGCACTCATTAATAACAAATAAATTATTTAATTAATTAAGAATATTGTTGTATTGGAATATTATTGTTTGTATTGGTCTAGATTTTTTCTATAAAAATATGTATTAAGAAGATAGATTTTTATCAGTTGCATAAGTAATACTACTAATAATATCCATATGCATAAGCCCTGCTTAGTTTAGGACTAGATTATTAGATATGTTAAGTTGCAGATCCTTTGTTGTCTAGTCAGACAGATATAAATTAGCGATTGAAAAAGGATTAACATTATTGTAATGTGACCATAAAAATATATAAAAAGAAAAAGAGACTAAAGGTAACTCACTATTTGTTCAGATGACAATCTAAGAGATTTACGGAACGTGGAATGTCGCCGTGTAGGTCTTTGTACATGACCCTCTTGGTCCGATTCAGATGAACTGTGATCTTGTCGTTCTGCTTCTATAAATATTATTTGAAATGTAAAAGGTTGAAAATTTGCATTAATTTTTAAATAAATCGAAGTCTATAAAAGAGAGAGTTTCTAAAAAGTTGTCTGTCTAAGTTAGATACCTCTGACTACCAATTTAAGTTGCCAATTTGCAAAAAAAGTTATTATTTTTCATAAATGATGTTTCATATAAATAATCATACAACGTGAATAATATACAAACTTAATATTGTATAAAATTACCCTATAATATTTATATACACTGACATAATATTTTTGTAATAGACAAAAGTTATTTTTCCACTCAATATTGTTTTTTCAAATTAGTTATTTAATATTCGTGTAAAATAAGCAAGTAAAAATGTATGAATATATCTTGTAAATGGATTCACAAATATATTCAATTACAGCCATGATTTAGGTATGCAAGTTACTTACCCAGATCGTGTGTTTTTTTGTCCTCTATGATTATTGCATTATTGTCGATAGGATCAAGTATATTAGCTACCGTCGATTCTGTTATTTCGTCAATGTTAGTAACTTCTACTTTATCTTCTCCTATTTTTTCTACATTAACCCCCGGTCCTTTCGCTTCTGTTATTGCTTCAGATTCTCCTAAATTATTATCTTTAGCCTCAAGAGTGGATGATAAATTCTCATTACTAGAAAAATATAAAACAAAATTATAGCTACATTACGCATTCAAATATAGGATCAGACTAACTTTTTGACAAAATATGGTCTAGGATTAAAAATTCAGCTAGTTAGCAAACGACTTGAGAGCAATTTGATGTCTATTCATTATTACTATTGTTTAATTCTGGTTGAATTTGTCATGATGGAATCATCCTATAGTCTTATATAATATACAGGTAATTTGTTATAAAAAAGCAGCTCACCGTGTCGCTTCCGCGTTGGACCGTCGCCAGCTCCACCAGGAGTAGCCGCGCGGCTTGGCAACACTATCCGCCGCCCGGGACTGTGACTCGACGCCTTCTTTGTCGGTACCCTTTTCTAGTTCCTCCATTACTCGCTGCCGTGCAATGATTAAATGTTTAATACTTATATGTACACAAGGGCACAACAGAAAACTGTGCTGCGGGGACTGATCTGTTCGGGTTACGGACACTGATGAGATACCATATCAATATACATACATATACATATTAATACCATATGCGGGTGATCACCCGATTCTCCCAAATTTGAATTTTAAAATGAATATTGTAAACATGTTCCAGTACATTTAAAGAGAATGGTTAAAAAAAATCCCTAAGGTTGGTTGGTAGAGAATGCTAATAGCATTAAGTCCGCCTATTGTACAATGCAATAAAGTTAAATAAATAGTAGCTGAGTTTCTTGTCAGTTTTACTAGGCTCGAAAGTACTTCGAACTGACATATCATAAGAGTCTAATAAGATCAACATGAATAAAGATAATTTGATTATATGAGCATATATATAGAGAGAGAGAGCAATATCATTTTAGTGTGAGTTTCAATATTTACAATATGAGAGCGGTGTGGTAGTGTACTTACAGTGGGCAGCGGGCGACGGTATGCAAGTAGGGAGAGCAGCAGCGGGCCGGCGCTGCGCCAGGGCAGCAGGCGGCCACCGAGCCGGACCAGCAGTCGCCCGTCGCGGTCTCCGGCCAGAGCAGCGCCACGCGCGCAGAACTCCTCGAACGGCAGCACGCGAGACACCATCTCCTCCCGCAAGTATACCTCCACCGCACCCCTACATCATACACACGTCACAACTCCTCTGATCGAAGGTCCGCACAATTAAAACGGAGGATGAAATTACGAGCACCTAACCCGAGGTTCAAAATTCTAACGGTGCCCTCAGACTAAGGTCGTATACGTTATGCGGGAGTTGGCCTCCAGTAGCTTCAAACCCTTAGCGGTGCCTAAGTCGTATCCGCCAGGCAGAAGTTGCCCTTCAACCACTCCTTAGGTCCTTCCGCGGGTTTGGAGTGCCATTTGTTTGCCTCTCATATCGTTCGGTGAAGCTGTAAAGCCCAGCTTCAGTCAACAGCATTAGAATATTCGAAAAACAAAACACTTCACTATTATTATTATTCAGCTATGTTATCCAATAGAGGATAGCACAATTGATTTAAAGTCTCAAAATGGAAACTTGTTCTCAAAAATAGTAAGTCTTGTAACCATCCAATCCAGGTAGAAAAAGTTAATATATTAAGTTTATTAAACTATCTTATTGAGCGATGTAATTCTTGTTGTTTAAAAAAACAAGAAGAAGGAATGTATAGTTTCTAGTTATCAATTCAGTTTTCTTTTATTATCATACGATAACAAAAGAAAACTGAATTGATATGCCTATATATTGATTATGCCTATATATATGAAGGTAAGTATCACCTTACTATTAGTAGTGAATAACAACAACACGTTCCTGACATATCACTTTACGAAAAGTTGATATACCGAAAATAGAAATAAATAATGTTGACTAATATTTTATTGCCGTGCATATACTGAAATTGCATAGAATGACGTCACTTACTTGGCAAGAAGTTTCTCGTCGTCATCGGAGTCGAGCGTGGGTGGCTCTAACGACGCCGGTGATTGCGGTAACGAGGGACCGTTCCCGGATTCGTACTCCTCTTCCGTTGGGCCGACCGTGACCATTGAGGTGCTCGGAATACCTACAAACATAAACAGAAAATATTCTGGACCATTCTTTCTAAATTTAAAAAAAGATTTAATGATAGTATGATATAAGTAGCATCTTATAAATACCACTACTTGGCCCAATGAACATCACTATTTTAAATTTCAGAATAATTTATATTTGGTTTACGGCCCTCAGAATTCTGCGCTTGAGTATCAGTGAAAATTATTAGGTTTTTTGGACGAATATGATAGGGGATTTATAGGAGCTAAATGCATACATCAAGATCCTGCATCCTATTCGTACGAATTATAAAAAAACGTTTTAATTAAACCTTATTTATAAGTAGCCTTAAATATTGAAGTACGGGTAAAATATTCATACAGATACCTGTACTAGTCGTGATGTTAAATGTTCATTTATACAACACAGTGGTGCCAGTCGGTGTGGCTTAAATATAAATTATCAAGCATCGCAACATTTTTCCACATACTATAATCGAACGAATATCTAAGCGTTTACGAAACATACCTACATAGTATAAGTTGTAGTTGATTATCTACAATAAGTCTATGACTTCGATAAAACAAAAACGTCACACTAATATATCAAATGTCGCGATAAATAAAACTAATCCTATAATCACTAATACTTAACGCAAACAATACTTACATATATATACGAGTATAACATAATAAAATCGTCTTGGATCAAAATAACAACGGCTAACTCTGGTGGTTTCGATCAAATATTGCAAACAGGCTTTTGTGACTAGATTAGCGAATAAGCTTAAAGCCCACCCTAGGGTAAGTAAAAACCACAGGCTATACATGAATAGTACTGCGAACATTAGATGATAATGTGACGCCCATGGAACCCCTTCTTAGCGAAATTTTATGACCCATATTATACTTTATACATCACAATTGATATAAGTTATTATTATGATGGGCGCTCACACTAAGAGTAGGTGTAACGCAGTAACGTATTATATAATAGGTCCGAAATTTGTTACATCTATAAAGGTACTGTTACTACCAAGGAAATTCCTTGATAGCCAAATGCCATATGTGGTTAAAAAGTTCATCCCTAAGTTATATCTTTATCAATATTATTTTACATCAAAGATATGTTACCACATTTATTTTTGTTTACATTTTAATTATACAATGTTAGTTATTTAAGTTAATATTACAAAATAAGACTCACTTGAACGATAGCGATCAGTGAAATGTTTCGGGAAATAGAGGTTGGGATCCACCTGTCCTCTATCCAGGTCATCCAGATAAACGCCTTCGGTGATATCGCTGCTCGCCTCGCGCGTTGACATAAATCTAAACATGCCACTGAGGACACCCCGACGACCTGGCCGCTCTTCATCGGAGCTCAACGGTTCCGTCGGAGATGCGGGCTCGGCGGGAGACGCGGGTGATGCAGGCGACACTGAGGTCACGGGAGACTCTACTGTGCGTACTGGGGGCTCGGGCAACTCTCCCCATCTCCATGACTGCGATGATTTGTCTCCACTTGTTCGAGAGAGCTCCACTTCCGTGTCCGACTGCACTGGAGTGCCTCCACGGGAACCTCGGCTGTTTCATAATTACCAATTAAAATAGAAACTCTCACCAGAAAAAACAAACGTATTCACATTACACCACATATTGCAGTGTTATACAGGTATATAGTTTTACAAGGTTGAAGGGACATGCAACGATGCACGTGTAGTGCCGCGTGTCAACAATTGGAATAATGTGAATAAACACTAATTAAATAGCATACATTTAAAGCGATTTCACTACAATACAGTAACTTAAGAAAAGTAATGCCTTCTAATTTTTAATAATATAAAATAATTAATTAATATAAAAAAATTTAATAATATATAAGGGAAATGCTAGATAATATTACGTTACCGGAGAACAGCTGTTATGTTACTAAAATAGGCTACAAGTACGTTGTACAGTGCTTATAATTACGAATAACAAACGCAAATATACAACCAAAAATTAAATTAAAATAATTTATGCCATTTCAACCGCAACTTTATGGATAAGCTACATAAGTAATTGTAAATAAAATATCAATAAAAAAAACTTAAAGATCCCGAGACGGTAATCGATTTTTTTTAAGGATATATAATAGGATTGATGGTCTTTATTTTGGCTACAGTCATGTCTACATATAAAGCCATATAGTAAGGCTTTATTTAAACGTATAACTCCGCCATTACAAATAATAGTCCTAAAATCCATTGTAATATTACAATATGTAAAGTTTGTGAAGATGTAGAAGGGGTGTTCTGGATCTCCTGGATTGACTTTTAAAATTCTTTACCATTCTTTTATCAAGAAAGCCGCGTTATTTTTTAGTGTCACAGGCTATAAATTAACCCGAAAAATTAAAAGACTTTCGTGGTAGTGGAGCCATTTCAGTGCCTATATGGATGTAAAAAATTATTATTTTTAATATCTACATGGTAAATTAAGTTTAATTATATATACATTTTATTTGATCTCTTTTTTTCGTTTGTATGTTTTTTATATTGTAACATTGTTGAAAAGCACTGAATAAAATATTTTTCTTTCTATCTTACTTTCTGGTAGTCGGATTTGCAAAGTAAAAGAAAAGACGTTTCTGACGAACTCTGCCTTAATAATGATTGAGTTCTAGTTCTAGGTTGACAATGCTTAAAAAAAGTCAGCGACAGCATATGTCTAACTTTAGCTATTATACATTTATTTTTGGATTCAATATAACTTTAGATCAAATTATCATCTAAATATACCTATTACTAATTTTAATGGGCAACTTTAATTGCTGTACAAAAAGCGTGACTGCGTACGTTTACTAAAGCATTATATTGACTGTTTCTAATCGAAATACTTCCTTTGCAGGTAAGTATTATCAATAGTGAGTTGTTTCGTGAGTAATGCAAGCAAAATGTGGCAGAATATTAATATTTTTAGATTAATGTTTACGCGTGTCTGGAGGCGGCGTGCACCTCAAATGCTGTGTCGGACAACGCCATCGGGATGCGGTTTTCGCCATTCAGGTTGAGGTTTGACATCTCTTCACTGCAACCAGGCGACTCAATATTATTCTAGCTTTTAGTTACATACATTAACATTAAATAACTAAAAAAACAAACTTAATAATTAACATTTCAATGCATATACATACATTGGAGATCTAAAAATAATGTGGATGCATACGAGCACACATAAAACTGCACTCAACAGTAGATTCAATAGCAATAATATTCTTAACTCACCTCAGGGTTGCAGCAGTAACTTCACTGTCGCTAAAGAAATTGATGTCGTGGACGTTGGGAATGCTTGTTGGTTGCGAACTACGCTGATCAGAGCCGGCTCTATCTGATTGACTAGAAATGGAACTAGTTGAGGATTTCCTTTGTTGTTTTTTCTTGGAACTCACTTTCCTCGTTTTCTTTTTCTTCTTTCCGTTACCATTTTGCTTCAATTCTTCTTGATTAGAGGGAGCAGCGTCTATAGGTCGAAAATCGTTATGTGCACTAATCTTTTGCACGGTCTGACTGGCTTCGCTCTCCGCACCCCCGAGTTTAGCTGCTGCGAAAGTTTTTGGCGTTCTACCATCGGTCCAATCGGATGTAGTCTCATCGAGACCTTCCATTTCGAATAGAGCGTCATGTTCATTGTCATTAACGGATTTCTCCTCTTTGCTTATTTTCTTAGTTAGACTACTCAAGTTAGGTTTCTGCATAGTTTGCCCATCTGCAGTATATCTGAAACGATGTATAAGTTAAAATTATTATGATATAATGAAGAGAGAACTAAATCTTTGTTAAATTATTTGAAGCAGTAGTTCTAATTGCGTAATTGAACGAAATTCCGTATACATTCCATTCACATATTCCGTAAACGTGCATACGTAAGTAATGTAAATCGCAATAAGATTTACTTTCGAATCATACAGAGATGTAGAGTGCGATATGAATTGAAGTTACTTTCTAATGTAAACAAAGCAAATCATTTGATAAAGGAATGGACAACAACAAATGTACTGATTTTGATAGCACAAAGAATATAAATGTATACAATACTAAAATATGTATATACTACTATTTTACTAAACATTTATGATTATTGTAATACCTTCGCTTTGTATAATCAGAGGCCTGACCGTGGTCAGGCTCGACTGCAGAGAGCGAGTTTCGACGTCTAGGTTCATACAGGTCCTCAAAGCGAGCTGCAGGAATCGGTGAGGTGGCGAGATGAGCAGAACACTCTGCTTCGTCTTCGCCCACTTCCTCTACAAAAAATGCTTCGCCCGATTCGCCTAGCTTCATATGTATATTCAGGGGTTCCCCATTTAACTCTAAGTCCACCTGAAGTAAAATATTATTGCTAATTTTAATAATCAATAAATTTATTAATTATCTTTTATTCTTCTTCTAGAAATGAATATATACTGTACATGGGGATAGGCAGTTGTAATAATAACTGTTGTTTATTCCCACAAATAAATTTAATTAACAAGGTAATAACAAATGCAGTTTCATAAGTGTACATACTACAATGTTTTCGTCTATTGAGTTAGAATTAAACATGTTAATTAATTATTTAATAAATGTTTTTCATTTACCTAACAGTATACATGTTTAAAGTAAAAACATTTTAATATTGTACTTTCTATTTGAAAAGTAAACGTAATATTCCTTTGGATCACAGCCAGTAACAAATAAAAAGTTGATTTACAATTATAAGTTCCGTCTATTTTCTCCATAATCGCAACAGTGTTTCATGATATATTTACGACTTATGGCTATATAAACAAAAATATACAAAATATTAAAATTGTTAATAAACAAAATACATATAAAACAATAATTATATATGAATTATTATTACCAATTACAAATAGAATTAATAGTGCAGTTCATATTATCATATATGATCGTGTACCATTCATTAAATTATACTCTGAGAAGGATAATTCACTCGATGAATAGAATAGTAATGAAAAGAATGTAGAAAATATGTTGAAAACTAAACAGGTGGCCGGATGAAGAAAGTGCCAAATTATATTCACATATGTAGAGTGGAATTGTATCCCACATTTGGCGTTACTCCAATTTACTTAATGAATCAGGCGCAATTTTCTCGTTGCCTTTTGGCAATGTGTCTGTCTGATACGACATTACGATATTTAAGTTTTAATATTTTTGCTTATCTCAAATTAAATTGTAGACATAATGGCGCAGATAGTGACATCAATAATAACGTATATATTATTGTATAATTTCGTTTTTAAAAATAACAAAATACCTCAAAATTTACAGAAGCTTACGTTTACAAAATTATACGTTGCTTTTTAAATTCAAGCTTTGTAAATTTGTAGGCATGGGTCTCAATCTGACCTATTTCAGTCGCAGTGGCAGCCGCAGCCGCTATTCAAGCAGCTTGCTTTCTAAGCTATGTTTCGGTGGAAGACTGAAACAGACATGATTTAAGTCTTCCAGAATATCAATGGTCGATGGGTGTTACGGATGACACATGAAAACCTGATGTCCGTATTTTTGTTCATTTGTATAGGTGACGGTTATCACTTACCATCAGATGAACCGTCAACTTATACGCCATTTCAATTACATAAAAGTCGGTTTTATTATAATGTAGGGATGTTATTATATACTATGTAGAAGCATGATACCCATATCCTTCTTATCACAGCTGTTTTTCCGTTGTCCGATAACATCTAACCTGGGAGATACGATTGAAGCAAAATAACGATAACATCTACTTCTTACTCGTAACAGTTGATTCCCTGTCAAAGCTTAATATTGTGTTATAATTAAAATGTCTTAATATATTAATGACATTTTCTTTAGTTTCTTTATAATGTTTCTTTATAATTGATAAGAATCAACCCATTAAAAAAATCATTTAAACTCCAACAAATAGATACAAAATATGTTAGGGCCAAAAACTTTACAATTAATTGTAAATGAATATACAAAACATAATTTTTTCATCTTAAAATATTTTTTTATTTTGTAAGTTTTATAAAATGACATTTTAAAATGAAATCATAAAGCATACAGCGGACCTAGATACCTATTTGGGTTGATTATCTAAAAGCTTTGCCCTGTAAACTTTTAGATAATCAACCCAAATAGTACATAGTAGAATCAGATAAAAAATATTGTTATCGTATTCTACAAAAATCTCCAACCGACGGGCATGTATGTGTAGAATTATGAAGTTTATCGATATAATATTATTTAGTAGAGTAGATAAACTAGAAGAATACAGAATGGAAATTCATAGATACGGACTGTAACTGTTGGTATCTTGTTTACATACAAACATTATAGTCCGTTAATAGATGGTAAAAATCTATATTTAAATATAACATTACTATGAACTGACTGGGAATAGTAACCTTAACGTAACAAAGGTAGTTTTCTTTCTTTGATAATGTTAAAAAATTGTGCATACCATCAATACCATGTTGGTATTACTTATTGTACTTACTTTGTACATGATTAATATTTAGGCATGCTGTCGTTGAAATCTATCGTATAAAAATGGCTTTAGTTTGTAAAGTTGTTTAATGGGTACGTTATTCTAATATGACATAGCCTACATCTTATCGTTTTATATTGCTTTTTGAATAAAATTCTTTTATCATAAAAAAAGCTCTGAGTGTTTTAACGCACACACGCTGACGACCTACTTATAACCCCACCTGGTGTTTAGTAACATTAATATAGGACCTGAATATCACTACTAGCGTCACAAAATATACTAATTGATTTTATTTATTCAATAATTCTAAATGAGTTCAAGATAAGCTTAAATATGATAATTATTGAAGACGCAACAACAAAGAACACTGAAACTGACATGTCAAATACATATTAAAAAATCTAATATAACAAACGCAAATAAAAATATTAAATATTACAAAATAGAAGATAGTTCAGAGCGGCACTAATAAAATGTTTTAAAACATTGATACTTAATTTTTTTTTATTTACATATTGGGGCACTCAAATCTCATTATATAGTCATGCAGACATGTGGCTCAGATAAAGATATTATTTTTTACTTAATATTTTATGAATATAATACGTCTGGCTACCTCATTGGGGATAAGAGCCGTGAAGGTAATTTAATAGTACATGAAACAACTTATTGGATTTTCTAATTTTATCCAAAGTACATCCATATAATGGTGGCCTACTAATCGGAACATTATAAACCTGTACTACATACGATACTATATAGCATTGTCTTGCTTTAAAACAAAATTGTATACTAAAATCACCACGATCATATATCGAAATTTGTCACAATCGATCGCCAGATTTGTTCACACCAGAGACACAATAAATCAAATGTAAATATACTAATCATAAAATTGGCATATACTATATATGTACATATATAAATAATAAGTTGTCTTAATTGTATGCATACCTAATTAGAGGTGTAATATTAAAGAAGGACGAATGTTGTAATATTGCGTGTAACGAAATGATTTTGAAGTCTATTATTTCTTAAGTTGGTACGTGAACGTCAATACACATGAAAATACATAGTGTTTTCGCAAGCGACATAAAGATGTATAAGTACAGTTTATGCTAGTCGTTTAGGGTTGTAGATCGATAAAACAAGTACCACGTATTCAGTAAAATAATTTTTAATACATGCTTTGATAGAATTTTGGTAGAAACGCTTACTGTAATATTTTTACATATAAATGTATCTTATATCTATAAGTATAAAATGTAATTTTTATACATTTTATACTTATAGATATAACGCTTTGAAATTAATATATATATAACGCTTTCAGTTCTCTCCAAATTCTACCTTTGATAGACTAGTAAGGTTTGTAGAGCTCACACCATAGAATACATCCATAAGTATTTATTATAGTCCATATAATACATATTTATGTAATTCCGGTAAAACTTAGCTTAGAAAAAAAATGATATACGATTAGAATGAAACGGAGTCCAATGACCAATGTCAAGTGACATAGAACGGCCACTTCTGTACGTGCTGCTCTCTAGTAGATTTTCGAAACTAATTACTATTTGTCTATTATTGAAAAGCATGTAATAAATATATAGGTATATATAATATATTGAATGTGTATGCACTGTTGAGCAATTGTTGAGTTTGTATGCATTACATCCAGACTCAATTGAACGTAAAACATGCTATATCTTTCTATTTGGTTCTAAAACTACGACCTTTAATAAATACAGCATATTCTTCTAAAAAATGTAGCAGTGTGTATTAAAAAAAATAATTACCACTTTAAATCTCGAGCGTAGCACACCCAGCTTTCCGAAACGGACGTGGAATGGAGAACAGGTGAAACTACCATCCGCTTGTTCGACCACCACCACATCAATGGCACCAGTAAGCGTCGCTGCGTTGATCTCATTATAAAACTCACGGAAATTTGCAATGAACTTCCCAATATAGTTCATAGAAGACATGGCTGGTAATCTTTTTATCACTTTTTTGATAACAAGAAACCACTAATATCTTCCCACACAATGTTTAGCTTAAATTGAACAATTTAGTTCTATCACTCACACAAATAACATATTACCCCATTTTCAGATGACTAATTCTTCTTCTTCACATAAACACAGCACATATCCTGCAACAAACCAATAATACCTGTAATAATGAGTTATTTCATGAATAATATCAAACACCTACTTCCTTAAAGAAGCAAGTTACTTTGGGAGATTTATAGTTTTACAATACCATTAATATTTTTTGTATAGTAAGTGCAAAATGTACCGAATTATATTAATGCATACATACAGCTTAATATTAATCAGTATTATAAATATTTCAATTGTATTAGGAATCCGGATATAGAAACATGTACCACGGCTTACTAATTCTTTAAAGAAGTGACTCTTATAGCCAGAATTAAACATATTCGAAAATTTAAATAATAAATAGATAAGAAACATGGTACAGTATAATCTAAAGATAAGTAGATAAGTAATTTATTAACATCTATCAACAAGACCGTGTCGTGGCTGAGTTAGGATCAGTAACATAATATCTGAATCCTACTTGTATTTGGAATTGCCGTATATTATTTTAATAACAATAATAACTCTGAACAATTCCCAGTGAGTCATTTAGTTCCAAGCTAAGCAGAACGTGTATTATGGATAGACTAGAACTAATAGAAAGACACAATGTTGAAACTGATAGAAACAATTAAGTTAATTTTTGTAATATATATCCTATATCAATGAATTATTTACGTTTCGTGAAATTCATGAGACCCTAGAGATCGACTTAAATTCTACCGATTATATGCCTAATCGGAATTATCATAGACGGGTTATCCGGTTGTTAATTTACGCACTAACAAAGGTTGCAAATAAATATGAGGAAAACGCAGTTCCCCATGGAATTTACGCTAATATTAGAAAGAGACTGTGTGATGTGAATGTGTGTATACAATCTTCGGAAGAACAGCACAGACAATGACATTCCAGTTTTCCAGTATTATATAATTTTACATGTACATACTGTAATGTGAATTCAACCTGAATATAGTAATACTATATCTATCTAATGAGTAACTTAATCTCTTTAAATCGATTAACTTATATTAAATATAACATTTCAAAAAGTTATGAATTAAAAGAAACTGATTAGATACCTATTGTGTACAGACATCCTTATAAAATACGGGTATGTTCTTATTATAGTATTAGGCAGAAGTGATAAATATTAGAATTATTAGATTCTGTCTTTCTGATGAACATTTTTTTTCACTTGGATTTTAAAGTTAATTATCTAATAAAAAAAAACATCAAAATCAGATTACTCCGTAAAATATCGGGGATATCGTAATGAATCGTCAATGCCAAGTTTAAATAATTCACATGTCGATCAAAAAATCGCATGCGTACGAACGCAATGCAGACGACACAAATTGTATGATCGATATTGCAAGCGTGTGCATGCATCACAATTATAGGGTCAATGTACTCACTATCGACCACCATTCACAGGATGTTGCCTAATGTTATACATTCACATAAATGAAACCGGGTTTAAACTAGTATTTTTTGCACGCCTTGCATTAGATTATCATAAATTGAGGGACATATGTAGGTACTATGTTAAATTATTGACGTTAGTACCACGTATGCGACATACTGCTTCTTGAATGAGCCTTTTAAGTTCGTTTTCTCAATTCCTTTAGTATCCTTGCTAAAATTCCGATCCTCTACAGATGTACTAAGTAGTTGTATGAATATTATGAGCAATTATATTTAACTAGTAGTCGTTAATTTATGAGACTAACGATGACATTGTAAAATAAAAACACAAATGTAAAACTGAATTGCGTACGAGCTTAAATGCTTGTAATATAGGGTTGATTAGTAATGGGATTGTATGTATTATGTATATCATATCATAAGAATAATAACATAATGATTCCAATTATTCTTTGATAGCTTGATGGGCCATAAAATGACAAATAAAATGCCTATTAACCTAATTTTAATATGTTGTTTGTATATTCATTAACAAATGTGAAAATATGTCTGCTAGTTACCTTTTCACAACTAACCAATATTAATTCAATGTGAATTGATATATTGTCACAAGCACCTACCAAAAGCTATCTTATATCTAAAAAAAGCAGACGAAGTCGCAGTTTGCAGCAAGTACCAGTACTATTCAGTAAAATAAAAATATGTTTCAACTAAAAACAGTTGAACAGTTGAAATCAACAACAACAATCCAACATTCAATTATAAAATATATAGTTTTAGTAATTTCAAGGTAGGTATCGTTCGGTTAGATTCGGTTAGCAATATTCAAATTAGTGTTGTTAAAAGTTTTAGTATACGGATGGATTGATTGATGTTTCTATGGACTGAAAATTGATGTTGAAGTGTTTGAATGTTATAATTAGTCGTTTTTGTATACAGAACAAATATTACCCACATAGCACGTTGTTGTAGCGTGCGTGCATGACGAAAGCAGCGCGGCGACGCGATGTATAGTGAGGACTCTGCCCCCTACACTTGGTGACTAATCCGCAAGAATAGCAGGCAATCCAATAAGCGGTAGGTATGTACTTACATTTGTTCATAACGACCGAAATTTTTGGCACGAAAATTCATAGTTTAAAGATATGTTGTATATATTTGAAAGAAATGAGCCAATTGGGTGTCGGGTAGAGTTCTGGATCAAAATTTCTATTAGTAGCTTTTCTTCTGCATGAAATTTGTAGTACATATATTGTAATGATACTGATACTCGACAGATCACAATCTGATTAGTTAAAATAAAAACATAATAAATATTTAAGCTTATTGTTTAAATATAGAGTCTAAAATAGTATTCTATCCACGTATATTAATCAAATATGGAACGATTGATACAGAGTATTCAAATCCCAGTGCGAACCGGCGACCGGGTAGAACTCGGGTCATGCCAACAGCGTTTCTAAATCAAAACTATATGCTCAAAATGGCTGCCAGAAACTGGCCATATCCTACAATTTTGCTGTTCGACGTAATACGAACTGACAAGCCCGTTATTTATGTAAGTTATGCTTGTTAAGACTCGATCAGAACAATTTAAACATTCTCGACATCGGAATGTAAGTTATAGAACAGACGCTTTCAGGGTTATTGTCAAATATGTCGAAACCGTCATGCACTGCTATGTTACGAATTTTAAATATTATACTTATTAAATCTCTAATAATTGAAATATAGGTTATATCAAAAATTAAACAAACAAAATGCTGAACGCAATTTGAGTTGTAAAGAACGAACTCTAGGATATATAAAAATCTAGTAAACAAGTATTAAACAATACATAGTGATATCGACTTGATAGGCTAAAATGATCAAAATCGATGCGGAATACAAGATGTCTCTATGCTGTTTAGGGAATATAGAAAGCAGTAGAAAATGAGAATTGCATTCATGAAAAAGGTTAGCATGGTAACTGATTTGACATGGAAGATTAAGTACCTACAAACGTTTGCCGTAAAGACGCCAGGCTACTAACTACATTATTATGATAATACATTATTATGCCGTTAAAAAGCAAACTGACAACGAAACAATGAATAACACAAATAATAGATGTTTAGTTCGACAAGACAAAACATATTGTTTAGTGCAATTATATCGAATAAGAATTAATTAGTAATATTAAGTCATGGAGATTACCTAAAATATTTTGTTGTTTTTAAAGTAAGATGTTTATAAATTTTGTGATAATTTATTATTTTACGACCTCAACGGTTGAGTACACTGTCTTAGTTCCGATGGTCGCGGGTACGATTTTTCGCCCGATATGAACAATATTGAACAATTGTATTCATGAGTATGATTGTTTGTTAGGTCTTAGTGTTATCTTTATATTATGTGTGTATTTAATATATATATATATATATATATATTTGTATCCGATGTCTAGTACCCATAAGACAAATTCTACTCAACTTGGGACTAGACGACACTGTGTAAATTGTCTAGGGTTATTTTAATTACTTCTTTGCGACTATAGTCGCGTAGTAATACTGTGTACAAAATTATGAATAATATGTGTATAAAGCTTCATGAGTATAGTAAGGAACGGAAGAAGTTCCCCGCGTTACATACAATATTTGTTCTAGTTTAAACACTCATTAAAAATATGAGTTATATAACGTTATTATTGTCATGTAATTGGTCTCTCTATACGTACAGTATGTATGTAGTTGTAAAGGCAACCGAAACTTATTGAATTTTCGTCTTTTTTATTTTTAACATGTAGCCTTATCATAGCATTGTTTCTACGTACAACACATCATAGATCGTACTACGTCAGAGGCTTATTTACATCTATTACCTAAAAGATAACATATTGACCAAATTCATCGTCGTCGAGTTAAAACTACTAATGAACGTTATATAAACCAAAGTAACCAAATATGTATGTTAAAAATAATTTCCAAATGGATAATTAAAAAAAAATAGTCAGTGATTCAGTTTAGTCTATAGTATATATTCTCTATAATGTTATATTATATAAACCGTAAAAAGATAATGTTTAGAATGATTAGATTTATAAATTGATTAAAAATCCATCATTTGCAATGATTTACTTTATGATAACTATTCTCTAGAATAACAACTAACATAATTAATATCTTCACGTGTCTACACAAGGTCATGTCAACAACAGTGATCTATAAAGTTATACGACAATATTATAGAATATAATATAAAAACATGGTTTAAGTGCAACTCTTTGGTCACAGCACAAACGGTATTTTATGTTTAATATTTTCAAATAGGTATAAATCAAAACTTGATAGTCGGTATCTTAAAGTAGTTTTTAAAATATGGCATGAAACATTTAAAACTCTCTGTTAATATACTAAGTAATTTATCGTTGACCATCTTATACCAATAATTCTGTTTTAATAATCATTAATTATTTTTTACCGTACAACGTATCAATTGAAAAGCTGTATGAGGTACATGACCCACCAATAAAACTCTAATCTACAGTGGAATTACTGTTCAAATTCGTACAGTTGTATATTAAATACGCAGTTGAACTTTATCTAAATGGCAACTAGTGCATGGTACAGTTCCAAGCCTAGTCGACTGTGGTAGAACAAGTTTATTGTTTTGCTTGCTAAAGGTGAAGTTCAAGCAAATTGTCAACAACAATAAATTGTAATTGCATTAATCATTCACAATATAGGGACTGACTCATCGAAAGAAATCCTTTGAAGTTTTTTTCCAGATAATTAAATGCACACATCGCTGACGTATTACCGGATTCAGTATAAACTTAACCTACTGGTCTCTGAGAAATCTTTCTATTACCTGTTATATACAAGACGTTTGAAAATCATCTTGTATTCTTTTCGATAAAAATAATAATTATTATTTTTATTCAGTTTAAATGAATATATCTTTTACATACTTCACATTAATAAGACTTTCTTTATTAAACAAATTTTAAAAACAAGCTTAATTAATAATTGCAAATGAGGTTGTGATTGCATTATTTATTATTTAACATCACAAGTAATAAATAATCATCGTATTTGTAAGAAGTCGAAAGTTGTGTTCTGTCCATTGTCTTGATAATTAAAAAGATGTTTTGTGTCGTCTCTACTACCTATTAAGATTTTATTGCATGAGATATTTTAAAAATATTAAATAGAAAAAAACAAAAAAATACTTTAATATTTTTGAATAACATGAGTCAGGAGTATGGAGATAGAGTATGAAACATGCTAAATATAAAAAAAATGCGTCCCGTAATATTTTGCTAATTATTTATCCATTTTTCCCAGTTCTTATTCAAGTTATTTTTAGTAGTAATAACTAGTTTCTAGATAAATATTTTTAAGATTAGATTGCAACTTTAAATAAAACATGTGTCGTAACTTTGATTGTTATTGACAAAGTAATGAGTGAAAAACTAGTCTCATAACGATTTTAGTTAACAAGGTTCTCTTCAATGTTATTCGATATTTCGACGCCTGTAGGTATAGTGTAGTGTACGAATTTTTTTTATCCTCACTTTACATGCAGGTGAGATGGTAAAATAGCCTTCATATTGACTGTTAACAGTATAACTATAACCTATTATTCTTTAATAGTCGTTAGTTACAACATTTAGTAACAATATTTTTTATATTTTAAACATAAAAAAGGAAAATATGTTAATTGATTAAGTTATCAGTATTACCAATTTAGTACTGTTAAATGCCAAGAAAAAAGATCAGATTACACATATCATTATCTCTACAGCGAATACGTAATCTATACTGTGTGCCTAAATTCAGGGAAATATTTTGTATAACCAACAACAGAGAAATACTATCTATAATTTCTCATTACTACCGAACTCTAAACAGAAATTGAGAAAACACACTAGAAAGCGTATAATTTGAAGCACAAAAACTGATAATAAACTAACCTGAGATCAGAAGTGTAGTTCCAAAGACTGTTCTATTAAACCGTTAACACTGGCATTTAATCAACTCTAAATCTCAAGGCACAATTGGCTTTTGTTAGACTTTGTCAACAATTTTCTTTGTCAGCTGTTATTCGCGTAATGTCACTGTAAAAGGCGTTTCGCTAAAATCGACGCGTGGAGATAGCGCCGACTCTACGACTATACTGTGAGTGAAGTGCGCTGTGTGATGCGTACAAAGAGCAAAACGACACGGCTTCACTTCAGTACAATTAAACCATGTTGACGCTACCATGATGTCGCGTCACTACGGATGTTGATACTAGTTGCTATCGGCACAGAAGGACTGGCCAGCCACACGCATACATAGAGACTTGTAAGTTCTGTCGTAATTCGACCACGTGCTTGGTGTGGTGCTTGTCCGATGGGTCGATCGCGCGGTATGGCGTGATATCGTGCCACTTGCGAAAGTTTCCTTCAACACTAACTGCAAACGTATCATTCATAATAATTCGAATATTTCTTTTTATATTAACGTATAATACAGTATTGCACAAATTACATCTTATTAATAATTATAAATTAATAATTTCTTCTCTTATTTTTAAGTACCTATTAATTTAAAATAAACTTTTGTATGAGGGTACTAATTTAGTTAGTCTCTATTCTATAAGGCCATTTTATGAACTAAGAAATCTAAGAAGTAAGAGATTCACAATGTGGTCGTACAGGGATAATTTGTTAGCGGACTCTAAAGAAATTCAAATGCTAAAAATTATATTTGTAGAATATGAATCGTTTGTTTGTAATCTTCACACAAATTTTATTTTTAGTCTAATTTGATGCGACCTCGTTTCTGCAAACCTTGGCTTGGCTTTTACATTTATTTTTATCGGGCAAAAAAGCAAATAGCTCATTGGATAGTTGTATGGTAGAAGGCATAGACTGCACTAGTTGTTTGCCGCGGTACTACACGCAGGGCACTAATTAGTTACCGTCTCTATGTTTGTTTGTTGTCCTTTGATTTATTTAAAAAACCTTGCTATACCCTTTGTTTTTGACATATTACACATGTATTTCAATCAAAATAATTATACATTTTCACTTTTTTTTCATAATCCACTCACAAAAAGATATCTAGTAAGTATTAGTGAAAGTCCATTAATTTTGATTTTGAAATTTATTCAGATCATTACTAACAGACGTGTTTGTAAATCATGTCTAAAATAGAGTTAATAGCCCCTTTGACTACCGACTACATTTTATTATTCCAGTCAACTACTTCGAAGCAGCAGTGTCTTTTCTTATAAATTTTACAAGTACCAATTTTATTTTTTACTCCTCTCCTCAGATCTTTTCAACAAAAATGGTTTTAATTACCAATTCTAAATCCAATATTAAATGGCTGACAACAAATTATTATACTATAATTAGACGCAAATTATAATGAAGATCCAAAATGAGTGCTAAAAAAATCTATAGGTCGAAATTCTATCATTGCTTAATTTGGAATTTTGACATTCTTTGTCAACAACTGAAGAGGATAAATAAATAATAATATTGAGTTTACTCCAAAGGAAACAGTAAATAAAGCCAATAAAAATATTACTAGTAGGACCTAATGTAAGAGTTGTTTACAACTATGTACTCGTACGTGCCCAATGGAGTACATGTAGGAACCGTTTGCACGCCAAGTACCATGACCAAGCTGATATGCGTGTCGATATGACATGACTATATCGACACGCAAAATAATAAAAATAGTATCTAGACTTTGTGATTTATCTTATAATAAAATCATATATAAATTGTTGTTGTTCGAGTTAATGTTATCTTTTGTTTAAATATAAAATACAGGTCTACTTCGAAGGCATTTACCGTAGGTAGTTTGGAATATATGCTATTTGATCAATACAGTTACTCCTAAAATTAAATTACTTAGCCTTGATATCATATTACAAACAGCATGATAGGCATCTGTTTTGTTTTCGTTTGTCCTAAAATGGGTGTGTCATGACGTAGTATTTACGAAGACCACACGAGATTGCGTAGTAAGAATAACGTGTTGCGTATTATTTAAACTCGCAACGTTTCCTCTTGTATATAAAAACACTACACTAACGACCTAGTTTCGACCATATGGCTATTCCTATAAACGCTAGATTGATATATAAGCGGTCACTACGAAAGTTGCATGCGTGTACGCATAAATAAACGTTATCGTTGTTTGGCCTTCGATCTTTTAACGTGTTATGAACACAAAAGAAAAACAAAAACATGTTTTTCAAAATATCTAAGTGACTTTATTTATATAAAGACGTAGAGCAGATAACAATAGAAATCAAACACCTATCTAATTATTCTATACCAAGTAATATAAATTAACAAACAAGGAACTGTAACTTTCATAACAAAATGATAGACAGATTTATAGCTATCAACTGAGATAAAAGCATTTTAATTACATTGTACAGAATGTATAATCTAAGGCAGTAATATAATTAGATAGATCATTATTGTTTTGGACATAAATGCAATCTAGTATGTAAACCTTTTCTCACAATGTAAACCTAAACATTGCGAGATTTGTTGATTTGTTTTTATTTATTTTAGTAACATTTTTATTAATGATATAATAATATAAAAATATTGGGTAATATTATTTCCCCTATAATACCATTATACGACTCTTGATTAAGAGCACCACTCAGCTATAGTCACGTACAATTATATAAACTTTAGTAGCTGTGTAACTTGTCATATAGCATAGACACACACCTGGTATTCATATTTCTACCCTGTTAGGAGTGAGTATCCACCGAATTATGTCAACGCAGTTGCTTAGTTGAAACACATTGAAATTGACAGTTTAGCAATTACAATTTGACCGTCGGTCTCAGCATCTAACTCGGCTTGTAACTATACAATTATAAAATTGTTAAGACATATAATTTATTCACCTAATTGGAATGGCTAACCCTTGAAACTAGTTTGTTCCCTATGCTATAAAAAAAGTGTCAATTTCACTGCCATATTACTCACCCTTCAACCGCAACACTAGTTACAGGGGGAAAGGGGATTGTTAGTAATGTGGGCTGATGATTCCATTGCTAGCAATATCAGGTCGACCTCCACGTGGTTCCCTGGAAACCATCGTGATAAATTTCCGCTGAATTTGTCACGATGGGCTAACTGATCTGACTTCATGTTCATCTTATCGTCCTCCACTGGTACCCCGCCAGCGTAAACCGTAAGCGCAGGCGGGTGCACCATTCCATTATCATACTCTAAAAAAAAAACACTACTTACAAACCAAGCTGCTCGGCAATTAAATTTGTCAATTTCAATCCTTTTCTTATGTGACTAGTTGTTAGCACGTTTTGGTATATATAATGGTGAAAACGGACCGGTAGGTATTAATGGTACATGTAAATACATCTAGTCTTTATACTCTGTTGCTACAATTGCGGGGAGTTGATATTAACAAGCCACCTATTGGTGGTATGGAAAGTGCTCGTTGATTTGTACTCTTCTTCATCCGTGAGGCAGTAAACCTTTCAGTTGCGAGATACCAAAAAGGAATGACCTTTGTTTTTACAAATTAACTTTACAAAAGAAGGCTCTACTCTAAATACCAATGCCAAGCCATACCTACTCAATCCTAGCCACTGCAATTGATTAGACTATTTTAATACATATTTATGAAAAGCAGTCTCAGTGTTCTAGATTTAGGATATTTTGACATTCAGACCGGACCTATTCCCTTTTTCTACAGTTACTCGTAATACTTGTAGAGCTTACTGTACCGTGGGAAAGAAACATCCAATAAATCTAATTTAATGTCTTAATAACAAATTAGTTTTATTGCATTACATTTATGTTTTTTTTACCTTAGAAATTAATTTTCAAAAAATAGTTATTAATAAAAGTAGAATAACAGGATAATAAATGTAAGAGGTATACAAGCAAAATTTCTCCTATATATGTCATAACCTGTTGAATAAAATTAGATCGCCAGAATGAGAGTGAGTTATATATACACGAGTAATGAAGAGAAGTGTTGATGTGCAAAGGAAGGTGCCTCTTAAAACTACACCCGAGTCACAAGTCACAGGATTTGCTCGAAATTTCTCTCCCAGCCACGTGATGGACCCACGCAGTGAATCCTTAGAATGATAACAAGACCACCAGCGTAAACCGGTAACACAGATGGATGCAACATTTTATAATCCATTAAAAAATTGCTAAGTGCGAATAATACTCTCACTACTACTGGAAGTAACTCAGTAATCACAGTGTGTGAAAAAAATGCGCTGTATTCTTTCTCATTTACATATAAATGAAAAGACTATATGAATTGACAAATTTTAGAACTAAAGTGTACAGGACTTGATATTTTAAATAACCTAGATAGCCGTAATAATATTATCTTAAGAGGCCTTTCACATTTTTTGGCCTAAAAGCAGTGTCTTTGGGGTTCTGGTTCTAAGAAATTAAGAGTCGGATATACATTTTGATTCCTGAATTATATAGATAGATATCTAATCTTAAAAACAACATCTTTGAAATGTTAATTTTCTCTTTGTTAGTCTTCCTAATTTCTAAAATAGTTTATTCAAAAACGCTAAATGACAGAAGTTTGGGGTCGTCGTTCATTAATAAACAAACATAAATTGATATGATAACTTTACTAAAACTTGATAATTACTTTATAAATTGAGACAGCATCGTCCTTTTTTTCATTTTCAACTTAAATATCTAAAAAATTGATCATAATTAAACCCGAAATTTCAACAAAACTTTGCCATAATCATTTCTAATTTTCTCATAAATACTACGAAATTTTTGCATAAAAAAAACATAATAATAAAGTTAATATACTTGTAAATTAGAAATATGAAAAAAAAATATAAGTTTCTAAGAAAAAAATAAACAATAATAATAATTTAAAGTTGTATAAATTCCGTTGCGCCAAAAGTAAATTCTCAGTGCTGCGCTAGCGCTCGTCGAGGTAGTACCTATGCCATTTTTTACAACACCGCTAAGATAGACATTGGTCAGTGAACATTAGTATAGAGCGACTAAACAATTTTGATAATTTAAGTAATATTTAATTAATTTTACTAATATATACTTATTTCTACGAATATTAATTTAAAGTTGTTGTTAAATATATATATATATATAATATTTATT